CCGAATCCTACTGTCTCTCATTCCCCATTAGCAGCCATTGACATATACATTGCGCACTATCTGACAAGAAACGGTTGCTACGGTATGCTCGCTGGGTGTAGCCGCCTTGGTTATAGAAAGATTATCGAGCGTTGGGCCGCAGTGCTATGAATACAGGAACTAGTATATACCATGAATTCGAGGTGGTTAAAGGTGGGAAGTAGACCCGAAGCGCAAGCCGTAAGAAAGTGTGCGTGTGCCACGTCTCATTTAGTCCTTGAAATGTCCGCTGGAGGGCGGTGCTTCTATGTGGGGAATATATGATGAAAAGATGCGAGATGGAGGTACTTGGAGTGTTGAATAGATGGACGACTGGACAAACAGACGTGAATGGACGCATGAACGGACGCAGGGGCGGATGCCTGGACGAACGCAGGGATGGACACACGAACTGACGCACGCACGAACGGTCGGATTGACGCATGGACGGACGGAAGCAAGAACGAATGGACGGATGAATGCTTCGCCCAACTCTCCGTCATTCACTCCGTAGATATGCTGCCATTTTTTCACAACTGCTCATGCGGCTGTAACAGCGTGCAGCCGAGAAGCGCGAAATACTGATAGGCTCTAGCGCTTATTGCTTCCGCGCCGTGGTGGTCTAGTGGCTAAGGTATTCGGCTGATGACCCGCAGGTCGCTGGATCGAATGCCGGCGGCGGCGGCTGCATTTTCAATGGAGGCGGAACTGTTCTGGCCCATGTGCTCAAATTTGGGTGCACGTTGAAGGATCCCCGGTGGTCTAAATTTCTGGAGCCCTCCGCTACGGCGTCTCTCAATCATATAGTTGTTTTTGGACATAAAACCCCACATATCTATCAATCAGCGCTTAGTGCTGACATTGTTGACGTGCATTCAAGAACTGAAGCACGAGGAGGATGCATCGTGTGTGTGAAAAAGAAAATCACCCTTTTGTTTTTAAATGCGGAAGGGTGAGGGGCCTTTTATTGGATGCCAGGTAGGTTATAATATATCAAGGTTTCCATAGAATGATGTGTCTCAATACCACAGTTGCATTTTGATGTTAGAGCATCAAACTAACCAGCTTAGTTTTTTATGCTCTGGACAATGTTACCAGATGCGACCGAGCTGACAATCTATCATTAAATAAATTTTATTGTAGCAAAAATAGGCTTGTTACAAAATACACAACATTCAGACGAGGGTCCAAAGCAAGCACCTACTCATTAACAAAGAAGCCTAAAGAAGCGGAAATGTCATAAAATTTTCTACTCCTGAAAATGTTTTCGTTACATTAAAAATATTACAAGTACGAAGCAGAACAGGAATATTCTTTGGGGAAGCACTGTGGGAGATATAGGCGCCATTTGGCAATAGATAGATTTAGTTGCGCGTCCGCAGCTGTGCGTACGGACATAGCCTGCCATAGCGAATGGCTGGTAGGCTGCGTCTGTATGGCTACTGTTGACGTGACGCAAAATCTGTCCAATAAATCTAAGAAACCAAAGCCCTTGGGGAACGCAGAGTTTCTCGTAGGTGGCAGCACCGTATTGTCTTAGCGAGACGCAAAAAACACCCGCTTTTTCGTGCATAATGTCACACGGACTGCACGTAGCATGAAACACTAGGTTACCAATAAATATGTATCTATGCATTTTGTAAATAAAAGAACGCACCGCCCAACAAGAGATAAATAAATAGAAGGAAGAGACAGAGAAGTTAACCAAGAAGAACTGGTTTGCTACCGTGTACAGCAGTGGCGAAATAAAGGTCGGAAATAGGATTGAGAGAGATATATATCAAATATTGAAAAAAATTTACATGCACACACATGCAGGGCGTTTCGACCACAGACGTTTGGACAGGCCGGTTGAACGCGAGAAGCCCAGGAGCGCCTTCATAGCCTTCTTTTGTGACATAAAGCCCTGTCGCTAGCGCAGGATTCTTTCTTCCGAAAGAGTCTAGTTGTCCTGTTCGTCTAGTGCATTGCAAATGGACTGTCTCTGCGAGCACTATTGTGGGCATTCATGCAGAATGTGCCAACTTGTTTCGTCACTGCCGGAAAGGTGGCAGGCTGCATTGTCGGCCATTCCTATGCGGAACGCGTACGCATTGGTTAATGCGACACCCAACCATAATCTGCACAGCATAGTAGCATCTCGTCGGCGAAGTTGTGGAGGAATTCTAAGACTGAGATTTGGGTCTATGGTACAGGATCGTGTGTGTTGTGAGTGAAATGTGAGTCGTTCCAATGGGAAGTGGTGCGCTTGCGAGCAAGCATGCAGAGTTTCCGTGCAGTGTCAGTTTTGGAGAGCGGGAATCGATATTTGAGCGCTTTCAAGTATAGGCAGAATGGACAGCTCGATCGGCCCATTCATTGCCAATTATTCCACAATGACTTGGAAGCCTTTGAAAGGCTATTTCGTGTCATTTCTCAGTGAAATGGGGAGTTACTTTTTGCAATCTCGATTACCAGATGTTCGTACGAGCCCGGCGTAAAGGTGATGGGATTGCAGTGCCGCCTTTGAGTCACTGAAAATTGTCCATTTGTGTGGCTGTTGATCGCTGATGAATAGCAATGCGGAACAAAGAGCTGTGAGCTCTGCTGCCGTTGATGTCATAAAGTGGGAGGTGTTGAATTTTCTTGTCTTTTATTTGTATAACAAATGATGCTGTTGAACTCTTTTGTAAAACAGAGCCGTTGGTGTATACGTGTATACAGCCTTGATACGTCTCGTATGAAAAGAGCAGAGCAAGGTGCCTGAGAGCAGGTGACGACATATATACTTTTTTCTGGATTTGAGGTACAAATTTGACGTACATAGCGTTATATATTTCTGTAATTCTTCGCCAAAGCTGCAAAAAAAATGCCAGGCCTGCGCGGTAGGCGCAGCACTAGTCGCAGCGAGCTAGAAAGCGGCCTTTCAGAGCTTTTTTATAACATAATTGGGTAACTGCCGCAAGTACACTTGCTTGGTACCCAATAGGGCGTTATTAATAAACTTATCTGTAGTAGACCGGCATTCGCTATGCTATTTTTTGTCATTCTTCTGAGCAGCGTGGTATCCGCTGAACACTTGCAAGGAATTTTGTGCCAATTGTTCATGCAGTGGCTGACGACGATGAGGAATTATGGTTGTGTTGGGTATGCGCCACAGTTAATAGGGAAACAAGAACAAGCTTTTGTAATGGCTTGGAGCATTGGATGGCCCACTCGTTATGCTAATCGCATTGTGCGACGACTGGTTGTTCTTTCGCAGTTTTAAAACGCTTTATAAGTTGTATTAACGCGATTGCTTTCTCGACATCAAGCCTGCCTAAGGCAAGTTTGACAGCAAGTGAGAAGCACCAGTGTAGTTCAGTGGTGCAATACTGTGCTCACACCCAGCGGACCCGTCTTCTAGCTCCACCGTGCAATTGGTGCTAATTCAGGCCTACCTGCAAGGTTTTTTTTTTAATTTCGCGCGATGTTGTTACAGACACCGGCGGTGGCAGCAGCGGCAAACATGCAACAACACGTGACCCGGAAAGTGATCTCATAACAGCTTTCGCTGTAAAACTGCACAGCAGGTAAGCGTGGCGCTCCACCTCTTGGTCATTACTGATACACTGTGCTCCGAAAAATATTTTTTGGCAAAACCAATTCCAAATTTTCTGTTTCCGCTGATCAGGCAACAATATATAAAATTTTCAAAAAAATTAGGTGTCGACCAGCCATGCTTTGTTCGATCTTACTTGGAATCAACCTCTTACGAAATTTAAAAGCGCTGCTGCAAATATAAGTTCAAAAACACAGAACCGTACATTTTCTTGAAAGCATAGTTTTATTATTTTCACACGAAAGACGCAACGACAACTGCTACAATCGGGGGCCCACACACAGTTTTTGTAGCTTCTGTCCAGCGAAAGAGTTCTTATCGCCGGCGCTCATCTTTAGACACATCGTCGTGGCGCGTAGGCGTTGACGTGGTGCCGCCACCTGTTGCCAGACTACCGCACCACGCAGAGTGGAGTTCTCAGGGCTGAAGAGGATTGGGGACCTGCTCCTGGCGTCCAACGCGGCTGGTGTTGAAATAGACCGAGGTGTTGTAGGCTCTTCAGGGTGAATTGCGGGAGGCGCTGGAGTTCGTATTTTTCTCGAAGAGGATGTATGATGGCTTCAGGCGGTCGATCAAGGCATCAATCGTCTTTCCCACTGAATTGCAGGATGTGATTTTCAGATCTTGTCGTCACAACGGTCGACCTTATGCGGTTCGGAGTAAGGCGGCTAGTGAGGTGCCCGTGCAGTGTCGTCGCAAGAAAGGCGTGGGAGCATGTTGCCAAGCTCTTAATCCTACACGTTCACAGCTTGGTGTGGCGTGCCAGTGCGCCCATGAAGAAGCTCTCGCCACCAGCACCCATTGAGATTCGCGTGTTTGAGAAAAAGTTGTGGGATGTTAAACGACACTGTCAGGACAGCTTATGAATGACTAAAATGCATAGAAAGTACATGGCTTTGTTAGAACTTTAGACGTCGTAAATGCACGTTTAGGGCAATAAAATTATTACAAAACGACGTACCATTTAATGCTGTCACCTTTCATTTAATTACTAAGTGAGCCCGATGCTTAACAAGGAATTAAGAAAGGACTGCATCGCTGCATTATTATTTTCCTGGCAGTGTGGTGCAAGTAAACTGTGAGTTCTTCTGTCACGCTCTTATTTGCGTGCTGCGACTCAATCATTTACAAGCGTTCATGGTTGTCTTTAATAACCTAATGGCTTTTTTAAAAAGGTCTAGCGGATACGTGAAATCCACATGTGCTTCCAAGAATATAAAAGCTAGCAGTCTAAGTAAAGATTGGACTTTCTTACCTATAGTGTCGGTGTACAATGACGACATTTTGGATAGTATTTTTGGTAATGATACCAACACTTATATCTCATTGGATCCCTTTAGGCGTTCAGGCTGGAAATCCTGCAGTTGGTTCCAGACGTAGGACAGACAGAGATCCGATGCCGATGTATGTACCTCCACATCGTTTGCTTAGACCACGCCGTACAAGATGGACTACTAGAAGGTGGTGGTGTACGTACATTTGTGTTTAGTTTTTCACTGTGTCTCGCGTGTAATTCTGGATTCATTTCTACACCCCGACCTATACAAGTGCAAATTTTGTTCGTTTATGATTTATAGAAGCAGGAAAAATACTAAAACAGCTTTTTTTGTATAACAGTCCCACTGAGGATAGGAGGATGACTGAATTCAAAACCAGCATCGAACTGCTTGTGCGAAGAAGATTTTCAAGAGTTTTCTGAATAAAGCTGTTTCAATAAGACTAAAGATGAAATAAAATTTCTGCAACTACATGACTTTCAAATTGCCATCGCATAGTGCCTTGTTAAAAAAAGATTTTGTAACTACTACCTAGTTTGCTGTTCCTGGATAATATATACAAAAACGCGATCCGTAGAAACACAGTCAATTTCCTGCGACAACACAAAGCCCCGGCTTTCGTTACAGCCTCGTGTGATATGCGATGTCATCGGCCATCTATAAATGCACCTAATTCATACGTCCTGGCGCGAATGTTTTGAACAACAAAATATTAGAATCTTGATGTGTTACTAAAATACAGTGTATATTGCTGCAATTATTTGTAAATAAATATAAATATTATCTTGGTATTGCAAAATAAGTCGTGCTATATTTCTTCGAAAGCTTTATTCACAGATCTACCTAAACTAAGTGCCTTAGTTAACTGCTCACTGTACAATCTACAATAACACCAAAAATTTTTATTTTCACCTGGCCATCCCTGCGTGCACGTCAGGTTAAACAACACTTTTATTAAAGCGACCATTTGCATCAAGTCAATTGGAACAGAAGTGACTTATAGTTACTTTAGCAACAACAATGCTTCATTCTTTCTAGGATCAATATTTTGGTGTGTTCTTTGAAAGCTGTTCGCAAAAACGCAAAGATAAGTCACGTCATCAAGTGTGGACGCCGTGTCGCAAAGGGATAAGCACATGCAGTAATACAGTCGCATTACCGCTCAATTATGTCAGATGTTAGTTTAAACATAGGTGTTTATACAAACTGCAATGGGAACAGAGGACAAGCAAAGGCGTGAAGACAGAGAGAAGACGCGCTAGCATATATGCTTTATTGCTTCACCTGTCTGATAAGAATATGAAGTCCTTGGGGCACCACAAGACGTTCGTTTGCATTCTGAGGCTGACTACAAGTATTGTCATGCTTTCGCCCAAGTGTTATTTATTCATAACCCCTCAGGTACCTTGCTAGCAACAGATTCGTGATTTGAAAGAGAAGGGTGAGAGTCAAGTATTAAAAAAATAACGATCATTCGAAACTTCATGTGGTATGTGGTGGTTACTATAAAATACAACATAATGCAGTGCAGTAACATATATGTGCACATTTCTTTATAACAGGGCCAAAATTAAAAGCTAGAAATAACATCAATTTTTCACTTGGGTGCCTGATACCAGCTCTCTTTTGTCGGGGTTCGTGCGCCTATCGGTATTACTTGGGTCAAGTGTGTGCTTTCTTGCACTACCGACGCTGATCTCTGAGGCAGAATAGAGAAAAACTCGGGGTCGATTTAAGCCTTGCAAGGTGCCGCAACTAGCCCAGATGCTCACAAGAAAACCGTCTGCTCTTTCAATGAACTCATTCAATTTATTTCTATCAGTTATACCGTGAGGTTGTTTGTCCATAAAATACGTAGAGTAACTCTGAGATCTTTTTGTATAGGCGATACCTTCAGTGCCCCCTTGAAGACAAAATCAGAGAAATTTGACCGTCTACCTCTCGTGTCCGCACGCCACGCGTGCTGTGGCGCTGGATTCGAGTGACGAAAAAAAAAGTCTCCGCAAAGTGGCATCACCTTATGGCTTCATGACAAAGTCACGCATCGCCAAATTTGTGACGTTATCATGATGTCACGATGGCGTCACGTGACGTAACGTCACAAGATGTCTTGGTCACATTGCATCGCAGCGTGGTCGAAAGTGTATTTCCGCACCACGGGGGCAATAAAAAACCAGGCGAAGTGTCTCTGATGTTGGAGGCAGCATATTAGCTGCAGAGACCTTTAGATGGGTGACAAAGCAGCATCATTACATCGACTAACAAGAAAATAAATATTGTTTTCGCCCTCAAGGTGGCCTATGTGAATGTTCAAGACGTAAGGCTTTCTCAAATTGACAAGAGGGGACTGTGGCGCGGCGACCGTTCAGTGGCCAGTAAGGATGATCGGTAGTACACAAATTCGCCTAGTATTCGTTCTTGCCATTTTCCAATGCAGTAGTAGCTTGGTTTATTGCTGCGTTTTAGTTTTGTTTCAAATGAAAGAACAGATGATTGTGAATATTGTTGGCTCGTTTAAAATGGTGAGCCCAGAAATTTAGGGTAGGGCCTGCTGAACCTTGTCTGCTGAACCTTGTCTTATTTGTATTTCTGTGACCAAACAGCTGCAAGCGTCGCGAAGCCAATTGGAACCGAAAAGCACGAAGATGACATAAATTTGTGTATTAACTACCATTCCACGCTCGCTGAAGATCTATGGCTCAAGACACTCTGTGATCTTTTTGCATAGTAGATTATTAGAAAACCGTATAAAATTGTTTTACCTGGAATGACTTAGAAGATAGAAAGTGTGTCACTGATTCGTAGTCGCACTAAAGATAGAATTTTATTGAAGATGACGCCATCTAAAAGTACAATTATTCCCGCTAATAAGATATTACATAGTAAATACTGAGAAATATGGAGCTAGAGTGCTAGGAAAATCCAGACATACCACCAACGTATTGCCAAATCAAAAGCGAAGAGCAAGAAGGCGATTTACAGAAAAAAATCGAACACCAGTGGGAGTCTGTGGTGACGAGAGAGTAGCCTGACAACGAGCAAGGAACAGTGAATAAGGCTCGGGCGCTGCCAGCGAGCTATGGCTACCTAGACTCAGCCGGTCACCCAGATTAAGGCTGAAGTACAAGGAGCCAGGTCACAATATCCAGCTCGTTTCATTTCATAGCTCTTTCACATCAATTCTTTGAAAAGAAATGTTTGTAAGTTACTCGAACATAATATTCATAATCATATTTCGGATTTTTAGCTGCTCATAATGCCCTCTTAGTGTCTCAACACGGACTCAGAAAAGTCTTTCCGACTTGTGCCCAATTAGTTCTGAACATTCGCGGCTTTGCAGGGGCAATTAAGAGATGAGGTCAGACTGACACCATTTTTATTGGTTTTTTTTAAGGCACTCGATGAAGTTTCCGAAAAAATAGCTTTCAAACTAGACACCAAGATTAAAAAAAAAGAACATGACGAAATGGATTGCATCTTGTCTCTATAACCGGCAAAAACTTGTTGTAGTTAAAGAAGAATGTTCTGGGAGGGTTCCTGCGGAATCTGGCGTACCCCAGGGATCTGTGCTTGGACCGCTCCAGCTTCTTGTGTTTGTCAATCACATTGTAAGAGACCTATCCGTTAACATAAACTATATGCCGAAGGCTGTGTTATTTATTCTGAAGTAGAAAACCCTAGCGACCAAAAATCTTTAAACGCCGCCTTTCAAAAAATTATAGCGTGGTGCGACTCTTGGTAGATGCCCATAAACTATGTAAAAAAACGGTGTTTATGCGCGTTTTACATGAAAAAGACCCCTGTTTTTTCAGCATCATTGCAACAACATTGACATTGCTGAAGTAATAATTATTTGGGAGCACACATTACCAAGATTCTGTCCATGGAATAGCCATATCGATTATGTTGTACCGGGCGCTTGCAGACGACTCTCGTTCCCTCGGAGAGCTCTCAAGAAATCCATTCTTTCTGTTCCTTTCCTAGCCTACAAATCCACATTTCTGCCAGTACTGGAATATGCAGTTATAATATGAGATTCTTTTACTATGAATAACATAAGCAAGATGTAAAACATACAAAATGCAGCCTGTTTTATATACAACTGTCACGGTCATACACTACGTGCACTACTGAAGAAAGCTAATCTCCCACCAATACCTGAAAGAAACCGAAGCTTTCGTCTAAAGTATCTTTATCAGTTAAAAAGCAAGCACTATAATCTGGACAATGACCAGCTATCATATTTCTCTTCCAGGTATTCAACAAGGCAGCGCCATAACCTCTCTATCACACCTTTCAGTCTTGAAACAACTGTTTCAAGTATTCATTTTTTCTGAGAGGAGTCACTGACTAGAACAATCTTACCAATGACGTAGTTCTATAGCCAACCCTTGAAATGTTTTCGTCATGTTTAATTGTGGTATATATATTATGACGACTCGGTTGTATTGAGATTTATTGGCCGTGAACTCGGGAACGAACAAGCGCAATAGACCCGAAGATGAAGCGCATAATAGATGCCTACAGTAATTGCCCCCACGTGAAAGCAGCCAACCTGGCCGCTGCCACCCGCTAGTCAAGGTGACGAGGAACATCGTGTAAAAAGCTTCATGCGGAAACGTGTTCGATTTCGGGGCTGTGGTAACGGTGGTCAGTTAGCACGACAAGAGGCGTCACACGATAGTTGACTGGTGAAGTCTGCTCTAAAACTACATATAGGTCGATAAATCGAGGCTGGAACTTGTCGCACAGACCAGGTGATTGAATTGGTGTCAATCGTAGCACCTCCTGGTCGGAATGATAGCATACAATGAGAGGTGTCGTAGACGATCTTTCTTGCTTGTTGCGTAGCTTCTGTGTTCATACAAGCACGCTTGCGGCACTGTGCAAGGCGAGAAAGGCATTGTTCGCAAGAAGACAGTGATGGAGGGCCATTTCTGGTGAAGGAAGAAATGTCGATAAAAAAGCAGGTGAAAGTGTGTAAGCGAGATAAAACGGTGAGTAGCTGGTTGTGCGCGAAACAGCGGTGTTGTAGGCGAAATTTAGGAACGTGAGCTTATCCCAGTTTCTGTGATCCGGTTGAACGTACACGGCGATCCTGTCGCCAAGGGTTTGATAAAACCACTCGGTCAGACCATTTGTTTTGAATGGTAGCTAGACGCCGTCTTGTGTATAGTACCAGAAACGCGAAGAACTTCACCTAAAAACTATGATAACAACACCTTTACACGGTCACTTAGAAGTACACGAGGAGCATCGTGACGTAGAATTATGGCCTGAAGGACGAAGTCGGCAACTTCCGATGCTTAACAAGTAGCCACTGAAGTTGTCTCGGCTTAGCGTGTCAGATGGTCTACGGTGGCGACTATCCATCTATTTCCAGCGCCAGTTACAGGAAGGGGCCCATAAAGATCTACACCGACGACCTCTATATGTCTTGTAG